ACTCGGCGTTCTTTGAAATAATAAAATTCTCCAACTGCCTCTGCCCCTCCCTGACTGTTTGTTGTTGGAACCTCCACTCCACCTTTGTCACCTTTCACTGTGATTTCTTGATTTCAGAAAATCTGGGGTAAAGGGGAAGAGTTTTATTATAATAATAATACTCCTCGCGTTTGGCACGGCGCCTTATCTCGTCTTCGAGACGTCTCAAAGCGCTTCACAGGATACACTGTAAAGTGTGGTGACTGGGTGTTTTGTGGGCAAAACGCGGCAGCCAATTGCGCACAACAGCGTCCCCCACAAACAGTACAAGGAGTGAATGAGGCTTAACTTCAGATGATTATTACGAATGGGTGATGTCCAGTTCCAAACACCACAGAAAGAATGCGATCAGCAGGAGATCAATGTATATGAAAATTTTTTTTTAAATGCACCAGGAGGTTTAAGATTGATACCCAAAATGAATTCATAAATTGTTTCTTTTCAATTTCTCCATATGCCAATCCTCAACTAAATAGCCTCCTTCCGTGCGGTAATTTATGTGGTTCTATGATAACTCTTTTTCATCCACGTTTATCTTTCAAACTCGTAGAATGCTAAATTAAAGGAAAAACTGGGTGAAATAGTGAAACAGCGCAACGACTGACTTGTTTTGGTTTGAGCGTACATCTTATGCTAATGCAGCTTATCCATTTTGTCTCAACATGTTTGCAGTCTGTCTCAATCTTTACAATCGTAAATCCCACTCCTGACATTTGCTTGAAGTTGACAGCCCTCGTGAATCACAAAAGCTGCTTTAAACGACTGTGCTGATATTTACAAGCAATTATTGTTTGGTGATAAATTCGCACTGACTTATCGTAATGTTTTAATGACCAAAGGAGAGGCAGATTTAGAATATAAATATGTATATAAATAATCCTGGCATTTGATGCAGCGCCTGATCACGTCTTCGTGACGTCTCAAAGCGTTTCACAGGATACACTGTAAAGTGAATTAACTGTATATTTTGTGGATGAAACGCGGCAGCCAATTGCGCACAGCAGCGTCCCCACAAACAGCTGTGGGTTGAGTGACCTTATTGTTATTATTATCTTTTTGAAGGAATTATTACCCCCACCAATCGACTAACAACCGGGTTCCTACTGACTGCTGATAAACAGAGGCGCGCGCGCGTGTGTGTGTGTGTGTGTGTGGGTGTGTGTGTGTGTGTGTGTGGAGTAAGGAAACTTCCCCAACGTTATCCTGAACTGACCCGCCCGGGAATCGAACCCATGTCCTCTCGCTTGCGAGGCGAGGGCTCTAAACCTTGAGCTACAGGACACCGCAAGCCACCGCAAGGCACAGCGCCTTGGGACGTTCTCCCGACGTGAAAGGCGCTCTATAAATGGAATCTTGTTGTTGTTGTTGTTGTAAACGCTTGCTCAGCTGGAGTACTGCGTCCAGTTCTGGGCACCGTACCTCAGGAAGGACACTAAGGCACTGGAAAGGGCGCAGAGGAGATTCACAAGAATGATACCAGGAATGGGGAACCTTAGCTATGAGGACAGTGGAGAAGTTAGGGCTTTTCCCATTAGAGCAGAGAAGGTTACGCGGGGACCTGATGGAGGTCTTCAAGATCATGAAAGGTTTCGACAGGCGAGATAGGGAAAGCTGTTTCCGCTGGTAGGTGTGTCTGTGACCCGTGGTCACAGTCTGAAGATATCTACCAAAAGAAGCAGAGGGGAGGTTAGAAGAAATGTTTTCACTCAGCGAGTTGTTGGAATTTGGAATGATCCGCCCGAAAGGGCAGTGAAGTCCGATTCGATAACAGCTTTTAAGGGAGAACTGGATAAGTATCGGGGAAGACGGGTTTGTGGGGTTATAGGGAGAAAGCTGGTGATTGGGGTTAGTGAAAGTGACGCTCTGTCAAGGAACCGCACAGACTCGATGGGCCGAATGGCCGCCTTCTGTGCCGTAACATTGTATGAATCTATGAATCTATGAAAATGGCATGTATTAGGCACATATAATCTTCTGACCCGTGCGATAACAATAAAGTGTTTACGATCACTGACAAAGACGTTACACCATCAGTGTATGGGATGAGCTGCCGATTTGTCACCAAGTTGCACGCAATTTTTCAAATGATAGGTAAGATATGGCGGTTTGATCTCAGTACATAAAATGTTCACTTGTCTCTTAGTCCGGTCACTAAAGCGAATTCTCTACGCCCGGCAATTGGACAAGAACATTGTTTTATTTTAATTCCTCAGAAAGTGTTTATCCAGGTCCCCAACAGCTTCCACCTCGTAGTGTTTTCTTTTAATCCTTCCTTTGTTATCCACCTCAGTTACTCCTCTGAGATAGTTGTGACTGTAGTTCTCTCTCTCTCTCTCTCTCTCTCTCTCAAGGTCATTGCTACTCTGAACTTCCATCTCTGGTTCCTCCCAAACCTCAAACGCAGAATCTTTCCCACTAAAGTTGAGGTAAAACTCATAGCACAGTCTCCTCTTCCAACTGGTTCTGACTGAGGGCCCTTGAAGAGAGTGGAACTCCTTACGCCTCTCAGTCTTCCTCTCCCCATACAATCTGCAGCCTTTTAAAACTCATGCTTCACATCGCAGAATCCTTTCTTCTTTACTCATGTTGCCTCTCTGCTATGCTATTTCCCCCCCGCCCCCCCCCAGCTGGCCAATTTGAAGCACGGGGCCCTTTACTTTGGTTCTTCAAGCCCCATCTCAGGATCCTACTCTTTGACCGTGCTTTCGATCACCCCGCTTCCCCCCCCAGATCCTCCACCCTCCCCGATCCCGACGCCCAGCTCGGGTCCGAAACACTAACGGTGATGTTGTTGTTGTTGAGGAGAAACCTTTCACTTAACTCTGGGCACTGGTGAGAACTAGGATTGACGTCACAGTAGGTAACGTGTTTTGCAGCCTCCCACGGTATTGTGGAATGTTGGTAAAAATGGCCCCGTTGTTAAATTGCGAAACAGTTGAGGGGGGGTGTGGGGGGGACGTATGTTTCTTTTGTGATTTATCTGAAGAATCAGAAGAGCTCACAACGTCCACTTATCCTTCCTGTGGATCTGACACTTGCAGCAGGTGTTGGAGATCAGTGGTGACTTTGAATGGCAGGTTTCACACAAGTTCCTGTCCTTAGCAATTCCACAGCAAAATAATTATATGTGCCAAACGCCATATCCCACCCACCCCCCCATCACCCCACCCCCACACTCTCCCCCTCCCCAAAATCACCTAAGGCCACTAATCCTACTTTAATTCACAAAAGAACACTGTTTCCCACCAAATATACAGTCCACAATATATTTTGCCCACAAAATATATTACACACTACACTACACTTTAGTGTATTCTGTGAAGCGCTTTGAGACGTCAAGGATTATTATCATTATTATTATTGTCGAGTTCCCACCTGTCATCTTGGCAGGTTGTCACGGCAAAGCTAAAATCTCAGGCTTGTATTTTGTACTGAGTAATTTTATTATGTGCAGGATTGGGGTGGTGGTGGGGGGGGGGTAGGAGGTGGGAGGGGGGGACAGGGGAATAACGTGCTCCTGCCAACAACAATAAATTATATTTGTATAGAGTCGTTCACGTCAGGAGGACATCCCAAGGCGCTAGTCTATCTTAATTGCAAGCTTAATATGCAAGGCATGAGAATATGGCCGCTCAGCCTGAAACGTTTGTCAAGACAGTGACTGCAAAACATACCAAATTCCACTAAAATACAGCAGCATCGAAACTACGTCACCAATAGCAAAAGTTATTTCTGAACTGAACCGGTCCCGTCTGTCTCCGTGCTGTGGTTGAAACAATTTTTGTGACATTTTCTTAAATACCTCAGGATATTGCAGACAGAAAGGCAGATCTAATTCCCCCCCACCCTCCACCCCCCCCCTCCATTAATAGAATACTAGTTTCAGTAGGCCATTGCACACAGAGATCCTATTTCTCAAGAGATAAAATTCACACACAGATAATTATCCTGTCTGTTGTGCTTCCGAGAGTTAATGAAACTGCCTAAATAGCAGCTGCTTTGCCTCTGTCTCATTCCGGCCATTACGTGCTATGGATCTCTCCCTCGATCCCTCCGCCTTGCCCCCTTCCTCCCTCCGTACTTTCAAATCTTGCCCAAAGACATTCCTTTTTGAACGTTCCAAATCCCATCGTCTCCAGACGTAGAACGTCCCACAAACCACTCGTATCTGAATGGAGATTCTGAAATAAACCGCCACGTGAGACTGAACGATATATATATATATAGATACAGTATTTTATTGGGTCTAGTTCTTTTTGTGAAAGAGTTTCGCCCACAAAATACAGTTATTACACTTTACAGTATATGCTGTGAAGCGCTTTGAGATGTCTTGAAGACGTTATGGGACGCTATATCAAATGCAAGGATTAAATACTTTTTAAAACATTGACATTGAAAATAAAAAAGGCAAGTGGTGTGCAGCCAAGCAGAAATATAATATAAAACCTATGGGTTTTTTGGAATCAGACTGGATATCTTGAGCAGTTTCTGGAAACAGACTGAGAACAGTGTGCAATGGACCAGAGAGATGTGTAAAACTTGGGACCTCCAGAGAGACTGAACAGCTGAGTGCTACAGCAATCTGGAGCCCTAGAGCTCAGTGGTTAGAGCACTCGCCTCGCAAGCGAAGAGGAACCTGGGTCCGATTCCCGGCCGGGCAGGGAAAACCATTGGATAAGTTTCCTTACTCCACACACGCGCCTCTGTTTACCAGCACTCAGTAACAACCCGGTTGTCAGTCGATTGGCGGATCGCTTTTCCGAGGGATAATAATCGCTTCAAATAAAAATAATAATAATTTGGACACTCGACCCACGGCGGTTTGTGGGGACGCTGCTGTCCGTTTCGCCGACAAAACACAGTTGCTTGAATTTACAGTGTATCCTGTGAAGCGCTTTGAGACGTCTCGAGTTATTTCTTTCTTTTATTATTATCTGATCTGATCGTATTTTCACTTGCAGCACTGAAACGCAGCTACACCTGCAGCGTGTGCAATGTGATCCTGAATTCCATAGAACAGTTTCATGCCCATCTACAGGGATCCAAACATCAAACCAAGTAAGTGACTGACCCTGTAAAACGCGCAGTGTGGCACCTCCCAGGAACACGCATCGCGTCACCGAGGCTTCTCGTCGCTGTGAGGAGCTGTTCATTTTCATCCTTTCATACAAACAGAGAATTGTACAGCACAGGAGGAGGCCATTCAGCCCATCGTGTCTGTGCCGCTCTTTAAAAAGAGCTTCCAAACAACCCCACTCCCTCCCCCGCTCTCCCCATAGCCCTGATCAACCCCACTCCCCCGCTCTCTCCCCATAGCCCTGATCAACCCCACTCCCCCGCTCTCTCCCCATAGCCCTGATCAACCCCACTCCCCCGCTCTCTCCCCATAGCCCTGATCAACCCCACTCCCCCCGCTCTCCCCGTAGCCCTGATCAACCCCTCTCCCCCACCGCTCTCTCCCCATAGCCCTGATCAACCCCACACCCCCCGCTCTCTCCCCATAGCCCTGATCAACCCCTCCCCCGCTCTCTCCCCATAGCCCTGATCAACCCCACTCCCCCACTCTCTCCCCATAGCCCTGATCAATCCCACTCCCCCGCTCTCTCCCCATAGCCCTGATCAACCCCACTCCCCTGCGCTCTCCCCATAGCTCTGCAAACTTGTACTCCCCAAATAATTATCTACTTCTCTCTTAAAAGTTGTTATGGAATCGGTTCCCACCGGCCTTTCAGACAATGCATTCCAGATCCCAACAACTTGCTGCGTGAAAACATTTCTCCTCGCCTCCCCTCTGTTTCTTTTAACAACTATTTTAAATCGGTGTCCTCGGGTTATCTGCTTTTCATCTGGTTTCCTATAATAAGTGTAGATTCAGCGCTGTAAGACTCCTTATTAGCGCCTTGGGACATCCCCCTGATGTTTCATCACTTAAAGCCACGGGCCCCAGAATCACAGAATCAACATTAACTTGCATTTAAATAGCGCCCTTCATGCAGGTTAGTGTCCCATTGCTCATCTCTGATCTTGTTCTCATGTAAATAGATTGTGAATTATTTATTATGTTTTTTTGGGGGGTCGGACATGTGTTTGACGAGTACGGAAACCCATCACCGTCACATGGAAATCCCAGAGATAGACTGTAGGAAAGGAATAATAATAATAATAATAATAATCCTGGCATTTGATACAGCGCCTTATCACATCTTCGAGACGTCTCAAAGCGCTTCACAGGATACTGTAAAGTGAATTGACTGCGTATTTTGAGGGCAAACTCGGCAGCGCAATTGTACACAGCAAAGAGTGGATTGAAGTGATCAAATTTTTTATTTTTTTTTGGAATGGTTTATAACCCCCAGAGAAGTGATCCGCTAATTGACTAACAACCGGGTTCCTACTGACTGCTGGTAAACAGTGTGTGTGTGTGTGTGTGTGGAGTAAGGAAACTTGCCCAACGTTTTACCCTGACCTGACCCGCCCAGGAATCGAACCCAGATCCTCTCGCTTGCGAGGCGAGTTCTCTAACCACTCTTTCCCTGGAGGGACGCTTCCTGCTTACCTAATTTCGGAAAGTATTAGGCGCACTGTTGGGGACCTCAGAGTATGATTTGGGGTAACTGCTGGAGTCTAACCAGCTACAACTCCTTTACTTGGCCATTGATGTCGCTGTCTGGCCAAGCTTTCCCGCTGCTTGTCCAGCTGGGACCACCCTCCCCGTTAGGGCTTTGGCTACAGGGTTAACAGGAGCTGAGCAGGAGGATTCCCTGCCCCTAGTGACTGAACCATGTTAAACATCTAGTCTAGTTTGAAGACCATACTACACATTAGCTGACTAGAGTTGTACAACAGTTTCTCGCTGTGAAAGTGACACTAATAGTTCCCAAGCACCCAAATGGAACTCGAGACCCAGAATCAATCTCCTCTTATTTAATTCACGTTTAGGGTTTATTTACCAGCACTCTCAATCCTCCCAAATTAATCTTCTGCGGCGAAACACCAGCACGGTGAGCTGGATCAATTTTCACAGGAGCGCTGTCTGCATTAATGGAATCGCTTTAGACATTTATTAAAAATAAGAAAAAAGCAATCACACCTCGCATAAACGGTTACACAAGAACCAAATAGAAAGAACAGTTCATTGCTGTTCAGGGAACATAGGTTCTTTGGGTTTTCTATTGTTTCAAGCGCTTCTTCCAAAGGAAGAAAATTGCTCTCTGTCGCTATAAATTTGTCTCAAAGGGGGTTACTCATCCAATCTACATATGTTTCTTGTATCAGATGGTTTTATTTTTATACCATTGTTCCTTATTTTAAGACCACTGTTCCTGATAGATTGCACGAGGGAAAACCCATCACCGTAAACGTTTTACAATAATTATATTCTCCTTCATTCCTCCTTCGTCAGGCACCCAAAATCTGAATTGTTCCGTTTCATTTACTTAAGCGTGGGGTTGCGGCAAGATAAGTCAGGGAATCATAAAGTTATACGGCACAGAAGGAGGCCATTCGGCCCATCGTGTCTGTGCTGACTCTTTGAAAAGAGCTATTCAAATCAATCCCACTCCCCCGCTCTCTCCCATAGCCCTGCAAACTTGTCCTCCCCAAATGTTTATTTTAATAGACATTATTGGACAATATTAAGATAACTCGATGAAGTTATTATATGTGGATTAGTTTTCCTAGCTGTTTCAAAAAATCAAGAGAGTGGGATTGACGATATAATCCAATTATTACCTCCGTGGTTGTAAAATTACGAAAGCTAATTATACAGTCTATCACGCAGCCACCCTGTGCAATATTTCAGCTCATTATCTGCATGGCTTTTTTTAAATGCTTTTTTCCTCTTCAGACTGCTAATGTAAAGCTAATATAACTGCATTCATCTTCCCATAAGAATTCATTTAATCACTTTTCTTTAATTGCACAACTGATAACAGAAACGTCTTTTCCATCCCAGTCCTTGTGCGAGGCGTGTATTACAGAACTGACATGAATTTCTGTGATAGCTTGGAATCCATAATCAGTAGCTCATTATGTCTGATTTGCAGACTGAAGAACACGAGTGCGAAACTCTATTGGAAAAATTAAATCGTCTTATTACATTCTAATAATTTTTATTCTGCCATTCTCATTAAGATAAAACAATTGATCTGACAGGAGTGGAAAATGCATGTAGCTTGACCTTCCGAAAGACAAATTGGCCTTCATCGTAGGGCCGTTTTCTATCGTATGAATTTACCGTAGGGGCACTGTTAATGTTACGAATGCAGAAATACATGTACGTCACATCGAAATAAAATGTTTAATTTAAAATGTGCGTAAATGATTCCAAATTCTCTGGATTATAATAATAATAAAAATCCTTGCATTTGATACAGCGCCTTGCCATGTCTTATAAACATCTCAAAGAATGTACTGTAAAGTGAATTGACTCTATATTTTGTGGGCGAAACGCGGCAGCCAATTGCGCACAGCAGTGCCCCATAAAGAGTCATGGATTGAGTGACCAAACTATTATTCTTTTTAATTTTAAAGAGATTATTACCCCCAGAAAAGTGATCCGCCAATTGACTACTTATTGCTGGTAAACAGAGGCGTGTAGAGTAAGGAAACTGCCCAACATTTTGCCCTGCCGGGAATCAAACCCAGGTCCTCTCATTTACAAGGTAAATGCTCTAACCACTGAGCCACAGGACCGCATTCCATCTGTTAATCAGAGAACATCTCCAATGTTGTGTTTGGATAAAAATAACTGTTCTACCACCAAACACTGTCGATGGTAATGATAGTAATTATGTTATCAAGCTGCCGTTGCATTAATAAACCATAATGATGTTCTTTCTTCCAAAACAATATACACCAATTTAGTGTAAATTCCTCTGGTTTCAGAACACGAACCTCCCAAAAGTCCTACCACTCCCCCCCACTACACAAAAGAAGGTCACTTAACAAGCCCTTTCTCTGTTAGGGTGCTCTTTAATTACCCAACTGTATGCCACCTCAAATTCAATTTCAAGGAGTGATGGGGAATTAACAGATTGGGGTGAGGAAAATAATAACACTAATCCTTGCATTTCATACAGCGCCTTATCACATCTTCGAGACGTCTCAAAGCGCTTCACAGAATATATTGTAAAGTGAATTGACTATGTATTTTGTGGGCGAAACGCGGCAGCCAATTGCACATGGGCAGCGTCCCCCACGAACAGTCGTGGATTGAGTGACCAATTTATTATTATTATTTTTGAAGGATTTATTACCCCCGGAAAAGCTATCCGCTAATCGACTAACATCCGGGTTCCTACTTCCTGCGAGGTAAACAGGCGTGTCTGTGGAGTAAGGAAACTTGTCCAGTCTCTCCCTACCCGGGAATCGAACCTAGATCTCTCGCTTGCGAGGCAAGTACTCTAACCACTGTGCTATAGGACTCTTTTAAGAAATCATTTTGTGTGTACTCTTTCTTCACCACGGCCTCAGGAGTGTGTTTTCAGGGGATATAAATCACGTAAAATAACAACTGCACAAGAGGGTTACAAACTGAACTGACAGATCCTGAGAGTAATTACAAAACAGTCGCCTTATTAAGGATTCAAAAGGTTATAGTGAGAATAATCCATATTAGTGAAGGAGTTACAAGCAGTGATCTAACCACAGGGCGTAAGTCACATTGCAAACTGTGAGAATGAATTTCGAGAATGTTTTTGGTTTGAGTCTCTTCATGTAGTGCCAGTAATGACCGTTGATGATCTATAATAGTATTAAGGCCGGAGACAATCATGACAATAATTATTGCAATGTTCTTCTGAGAATAAAATGCAATTGATATCTTCGAGCTGACGCGGCTTTAATGACCAAACAGTAACCCCCAACCGCACTGATGTGACACGGCTACTTCCCAACCCAGCAATCATACTCATCAGTCCAAGTAAGGCTGTGAATTAGTGTGGAAATAATAGCAGATTTGGAGCCAATTAATCATGTATTGAGAGAATGCAAGCGCTTATTTCACTTTCAAAACCTTCAGCTGTTTCTTCAATGACTCCAATTGGAATAGTCACTGCCTGAAGTAATCCTTCACACAGTGACCAGCGGGATCAATCCTGGGTTGCTGAAAAATGACCTCTGGGAAGAGGTATCAGAGGCTGACTGGTGCCTTCTGAAACATACTATCATCTCAACATGAGCAAAGATACAGTATTTGTCAAAAACCTTCGGCAAGTTTCCTTACTCCACGGGCCTTTGTTTATTTTTACCCACAGCGTTGTTCCGGTCTGGAATGTACTGCCTGAAAGGGCGGGTGGAAGCAGATTTGATAATAGCTTTCAAAAGGCGATTGGATAGGGACTTGAAAAGGAAAAAAATGTGCTGGGCTGTTGGGTAATAATAATAATCCTTGCATTTGATACAGCGCCTTATTCACATCTTTGAGACGTCTCAAAGCGCTTCACAGTGAATTGACTGTATATTTTGTGGGCAAATCGCGGCAGCCAATTGCGCACAGCAGCGTCCCACAAACAGCCGTGGATTGAGTGACCAAATTATTCTTATTTATTTTGAAGGCATCGGAAGGGGTAAGAGAAGGGGAATGGGACAAGTTGGGAAGATCTTTCAAAGAGTTGCCACAGGCACGATGGGCCGAATGGCCTCTTTTGGTGCTATAAGATTCAATGATTCTATATGGTACGAGCTATTGTTTTCCCTGCTTGCCTTGATGCTGAATTGTGCAATATGACGAATTAACGGTTTCATATGTGGCCCCACATCCCATCCAACATGATGGGCACATGTGCGTGTGCTAACATAGATGTGGAGGAAGATAAACTGTACATATTGTGGAGTCCTGTAGCTCAGTGGTTAGAGCACTCGCTTTGCAAGTGAGAGACCTGAGTTCAATTCCAGGCAGAGGGCGAAACCTTGGGCAAGTTTCCTTACTCCACACAGAGCCTAATAATAATCCCTCCAAAACCACAAACAATAATAAATTGGTCATGCAAGGATTATTATTATTATTATTATTATTATTATTATTATTATTATTATTATTATTATATATTCACTGCTATTGTGTTGGGCTGTTTTGAAGAACGAGCAAATTATGAGCTACATTTATTAATTTTTACTCATTAAACCAATCATGGAAGTATTGTTTAGTTATATTCTGGTAATTTCAATCTCCAGTCTCATAACTATTTACAGGCTATCTAACAACAAGGTAAATTACATTTATACTTCTCTTAAGATCTATCATTAAGTTCAAAGCGAGATTGGATGGAAATTTATGATTTGAATTAAAGAACGCATTAGACCCGCTCAATCGTTACATTAAAAAAAACACATCTAAAAGAGCATCAAAGCCGGGATTGGAAAATGCAGCGCTGTTTGGACGAGTTGGATCCAGGCCAGTTTATCAATGATTCTGTTAGAAGTGGTGATTATGGAAAAATCTGGCAGCGCTTACTGCTCAAACCTTGAGAATTTCACCACGTTATGAAGTGGCTTTAGCATTTAAAGACGTTGAGATATTGTAGTTTCTGGTCCCAGGGTGGCCCTGTGCTAAGATCGACTTACCTCAATCATGTGAGTCTTAGGGGTTGTATCTCCGTACCTATATCATAAGCCTTTAGTAGCGTTGCTAAATGGCGGTCTGACAAATAAAGGAGGCCATGATCCTTTTTTTTTCCCCGTTGGTGATCTGTCCAGGAACACTGGGCAGACACGTCACTCCCTGGCCTCACAGGGAGGAGGGCCAAAATATTTGACTGCTACCATTAACAACAACTTGCATTTATACAGTGCCCCTCACGTGGAGCGCTTCACAGTAGCAGTCTGACCCCGAGATGGGGGAGAGGGAGGGGGCAGGTGACCTTGAGCACGATCCAAAAGGAAGGTCTTCATGCGGGATTTGAAAGTAGGGAGGGAGGGGATGAGGTAGAGGGATTGAGGGAAAGAGTTTCATCAACAATAGGCGATCCCTGAAAAAAATCTGCCCATGACAACCCCCCTCACCCCGCCCCCCCCATTCAAGACCTTTCTGATAAGGTATAAATCATTTCTCTTCATCAATCAGATATTGAGCTCTTGGAGAATACATACATTACGTCTTCATTAGTATAGAATTAAATGTTGCAGCATTTGCCGAGATTTACGTTCCATCATTGCACCTGACAAAAACAATTTGCATTGATAATAATAATCCTGGCATTTGATATAGCGCCTTATCACGTCTTCGATACGTCTCAAAGTGCTTCAACAACAACAACAGCAAGATTGCATTTATAGAGCGCCTTTCACGTCGGGAGGATGTCCCAAGGCGCTGGCCAGTTGGGTTGGGACCCGAGCAAGGCGAAATTGGGGAGGGAGGGCTTCACAGAATATACTGTAAAGTGAATTGACTATATATTCTGTGGACGAAATGTGGCAGCCAATTGCGCACAGCAGCGTCCCCACAAACAGTTGTGGATTGTAGTGACCAATTTATGTTTTCAAAACCTTGTGAACAAAACTTATTGTGTGGTAAAGCCTAATTAGCAGTTCATTTTGAAACCATTCGCGAAATTTCCGTCTGAAAATTGCTCCGCGAACCAGGATCAAAGATTTCTTCATTTATAATTTTATTAAAAAATGCAGCAATGCAAGCAAACATCAAATTAGCTGATTAGCTGATTAGCTGATAAGGAAGTAATTAATTCTTCATTAGTTAGGAAAGTTCTGTACCAGATTATTAACTTAGAAGCAAGGTCATATTTGTTCCGTCTCGGATCCCAATACAAGTGACACATTAAACACGAAGTACAGCATAAATTATCCTCATTTTAAATTGCAGTATACTGCAATTTCATAGCACTAATTTGTTAACCAGTTAACCCTGGAAGAAATGAATTGCTCATGGGACTATAAAAAAGTTTTGGGCCTTGAAAGAAGTTTTTTAAGTCAAGAAATATTAAAATTTCTCAGTTAATTGCTCTCCCAAATCACTTTTTATGTGTGCACATTGTACTCATTGACAGCAAGGATGGGTTAGAACTGTTGGAGAAACTTAGAGCAAATTGTCGAGCTATGTTTTCTTAGGTTTTATATTTTGCGAAGGGCTTTAGTGTTTCTGGAGTTCTTTTTCTTCATCCAATATGCAGTAAAACTCACATAACTCGTATCAGTCGGGACCGTACCATTTAAAAAGACTTGCGCAAAGTCCGAATTGTAGGCAAACTTATATAAGTCGTGTAAAATTCAATTTAATCAATAATCTACACTGTGCAGGTGGACTGCACCCGGTAAGTGACGGATCAAAACTATGTTTCCCGCGATTCAACGCATCTTCAACCGTTGCCGCGTTTGCACTTACCGGCCAGCGTTGGAATCGCATTCAATCGCGGGAAAATGAAGTTTTTCTGCGCGTGTCGACGGCTCAAGACTACATTTCCCGTTATTCAACGCAGCCGGTAAGTGCGGGAGTAATGGAGGGTAGGGGGAGTGGGGTTATGAGTTAGGAGGACTAAAGCAAAAAAATCTGAGTGGTTTTATAATAATTATCCTTGCATTTGATATAGTGCCTGATCACATCTTCGAGACGTCTCAAAGCGCTTCACAGAATACACTGTAAAGCAAATTGACTGCATATTTTGTGGCAGAAACTCGTCAGCAACACTGTTTTGATAGGAAACTGAATGGGACTCAGGTGGATGTACGACTTAGGCGATTATATGATTTATAAAGATAAGACTTACGCGAGTTTTGCCGTATATTTATTGGCACTTTTTTCACCTTTTTTTTACAGCCTGAAAAACCAACTGTGAGAATCTTCTCTCAAAAATAGAGAACTGTTTCCAACATCAGGAAATTCCAATTTTCTCGCATGTGATTGATACCTTATTCAATGCGAGATGGAGGAATTTTTCCAAAGGCATATCACATCTGAGATTGCCAGCCATCGTTCTTTCAAAACAGAAGCAATGGAATAACTTGTTACTCGGAGACGCCCTTCGTTGGTTATCAGCTGAATCAGTAACTGGAGAGAGCAATTTGCTGTGAGGAGCGGTGAACGTGACTCGAATTGAGTTAACTTCTGTCACTGCGAGCACACCTCATTTGAATTGATTGCACGGCACAGGTTGCGGTCCCGACGTCTGGCGTTTCAGCAAGAAACTGAAACGAATCGGAAAGTAAAGTAAAATAAGAACACCTGAAAAAAACTGCTCCAGTGATCATTCTGAAGTGCTAAAGGATGAAATTGTTCGATGAATAACAACACTGCCTTTTCGGCTCTGAAGCCCGAGTAATCTGCTCAAGGCAGATGTCCGTTGATGTCAGCAGCTGATGAGGAAACCGCGGCTTTGGACAACAGCTGCTCAGAGGCATTAACTGGATTCCGGGTTCGTGAACACCTGTTCATATTCGTTTTTGTAAGAATGTTTTAGAATTATACTTAACATCATTGGTAGCACTGATCTCTAGAGTACACAATGTGTACAATCTCTAACACCCTTTTTATCCTGTTTTAACAAATTTTTACTCTTGTCCCAGTTCCCTGTATTCTTTGTATAGTCTGTTTTTCTCACTGATTCCCGATGTAATTGATGTATTCATCCATTATCATCCACTTGGGATTTATTTGCACATATTCTTCTTGGTATCTAACTTGCAGATTTGAAATTAATATTTAAAGTATCCCCACGGCACAGAGATCGATGTGAGCCATGAAGCATTTTATTTGGGATCATGGAGTTCTGTAGCTCAGTGGTTAGAGCACTTGTCTCACTGGGTTCGATTCCCCCGACAGGGCGAAATATTGGGCAAGTTTTTCCTTACTCCACACACCTGTTTGCCTCGCAGTGATTAGGAACCCGTTTGTTAGGATTGCTTTTCGGGGGTATAATCCCTTCAAAAAAAAATAATAATTTGGTCACTCAATCCACAATTGTTTGTGGGACACTGTTGTGCGTAATTCATTGCCGCGCTTTGCCTAAGGACATCAAATGCAAGGATTATTATAAGTAGTTATTTACATCAGTTTGTATTTATCCCAAATATCAGAATCTGAAAGTGGTAGAGGGGTAACTGTAGCAGTAAGTTTGATGTATCATCGTTCATCTGCTCCATGAAGATGGCCTCTGAATCTGTCTGGTAAGACTTGCTAACCAGTGCTATGGCGAAAAATCTGTGAAAGAATATTCTTCTGCAAATACGACTTACCTGCACTGGAAAAATATTGGACAGACCGCCACACTAATGATGCAATTAGGAGACAATTCCTGTAAGGTGTACGTATCCTCAGCCATTACTGTGAAATGCCGATGGAACGAATAGCACCACCAGAGCATTCTGTCCTCCTGCAATACAACGTTCACACAGCGCCTTTCAAGTCAGGCGGACGTCCCAAGCCGCTGGACAGGTTTTGTCCTTAAAAAAATAAACGTAGCCCCATATCTCATATACCTGCTAAATGGCCATGGATTTATCTGACAATCATCACCTAGATATATATATGCACTTTCTCTGCATTTTTATATATATATATATATATATATATATTCAGAAGCACAAAGAGAATGCTAACCTCACAGGGGAGAAAGAATCTGCATGGGAAAAATATTTCCCTTGAAGCAAGTCGATTGTTTTGATGCTGATATAATGTTCAAACAAAGATAGTTGTAATTATTAAATGATTAAACTGCCTCCAGAACAAAAATAGATCTCAATGAATCAGTTTTGAGGCACAGAATTTTAAAGCACGCAGTTTATTACCATGCTTTCTCCCAGTTGCATGTTACCTGCCAGAGTTCAAATACACATTGCAGAGCAGCTCTACACTACAATCTGTGGTGATTTATTTTGTATTTGAACAAAAATGAATAAGGGGTAGACCGGTACCATCAGTCTCATCAATTCACTTCGCAGTATATTCTGTGAAGCGCTTTGAGACGTCTCGAAGATGTGATAAGGCGCCTTATCAAATGCAAGGATTATTATTCTTATTATCCCACCAGGAGCAATCAGCCCACATGGCCCAAGGCTTCTGAGGCCACGTTTAGTCAGAACCTACCTCTGGTTCTGACCAGAACACAACATGGCCTGAATGTGGGGAAGACGGCGAAACGTTGGGCAAGTTTCCCTTCCTTACTGTTCACCCAGCAGTATGTAGGAACCCGGCTGTTGGTCGATTGGCGGATCGCTTTTCCTGGGGTAATAATGCCTTCAAAAAATTAAAAAGAAAAATAACAATTTGGTCACTATATCCGCGGCTGTTCGTGGGGCGCTGCTGTGCGCAATCGGCTGACACGTTTCGCCCACAAAATATACAGTCAATTCACTTTACAGTATATCCTGTGAAAGACTTTGAGACATCTCAAAGACGTGATATGGGGCTGTATCAAATGCAAAGATTATTATCATTATTATCAGCAATCGTCACCAATTCCTCAGTTTACAATTCCTTTTCTATTGAAACGAAAAGAGTTATTTTACGTGTTAAGTGCTTAAAATGGGGTGTATTTCAGTGGGCAGTAAAATAATTTGTGCAGAGCCTGAAGGAGAAAGTAAGTGATTGTAATTCCGCGTGTAACTGTGACACAGCGTCGGTTACTTGAGGTGGAAGCGATTGCGTTACAGAAGCAACTCAAGCGATGCGGAATGCAGTACAATGCACACAGAATGAAAACGGCTTTGGTTTCAGTTTCTGGGGAGTCAACAGAAATATTAATGCACCAGGTATTCACCTGATAAAACTTTACACCGCGTTCATCTCACGCGCCGCAATTCCATCCCACGGCCAAACGTTTTGTCAAGATAGAGTCTCGATGGTTTCCTCATTAGAAGAAACAGCCCACCATCTTGAGGTCGATTGGAAAAATTGCAGCTGAATTTATAATTCAATCCACAGGCTCAAATCTTAAACCAGTCCGCAGTTTGCCCCTGAATACTTTTCTCGAACACCAGCAAGTAATCAGGGAGCTGGTGGCTGGCAGAATCCATACTTTCCTACTAGTCTTTGCTCTCCATGTCAATAAGAATAATAATAATAACAATCCTTGCATTTGATAGTGGTTAAGAGCATTCGTCTCACGAGCGAGAGGACCTGGGTTCATTTCCCGGGCAGGGCAGAACATTGGGCAAGTTTCTCCGCACACGTCTCTGTTTACCGAGCAGTGAGGAGGACCCCGCTTGTTAGTCGATTGGCCAATACGGGGGTAATAATACAAAAAAAATGTGGTCACTCAATCCACGACTGTTTGTGGGGACGCTGCTGTGCGCAATTGGCTGCCGTGTTTCGCCCACAAAACACACGGTCGATTCACTTCGCAATATATTCTGAGAAGCGCTTTGGGGCGTCTTGAAGACGTGATAAGGCGCTGCATCATATGATAATATTATTATTATTGTCGTAAAGATGATTAATCTTGACGGGGATCAGTTCCATGGTTGGCAGGTCTCCGGTTTGTCACCGATGACACTCCCTAGTAAATTGGCTTGAGGTAACATCTTGTGGTACACCAAATCTTCGAGGCAGAGTAAACCCACCAAGTTTTATTGCTGTGTTTGGCTACACCGGAAACCTCCGTCAATCTCTTACCCTTCCATTCTCAATAACTGGCAATTTGACTCATCAGTCTCACTCCTTTCGAGCGACATGTTTATTTTGGTATATAAATCTGATGTATTTTCATGCTGAGAAGTAAATACAATTGATATATTACACTGAGCTTGTAGCTAGTTTCAAGCTCTTTGATCACAACTCCTGCTCCTAACATGAGCCTGACGTTGAGTCCTGCTGGTAATCTTATAATCTTCTCCCGCCTGACAACCCTGTCATCAGTGTGAACCTCTTAGTTCTCGGCAAGGAACCTCGGTTAGAGTGATGAAGCAAAAGTGACGGGAAGAGGGAGAGAACGGCATGCAAGCCGGTGATGCAACTGGAAAAGAATGAACTGGCTTTTTTTGCAGGGCCTTATCACATTAAAAAAAACTCTCAAAGTACTTTACAGCAATTACTGTGAGTCATTGGACTTTTTCTTTAGGCCATTTTATGCAGCGGGGCCCCGCAGACCGGCAAGGTCTGGACGACCAATCATTCAACTAATTAGTCTGTAAGAGTATTGTCCAGAAAGGAAGGTGAAATTCCCTTTTCTTTTTCAACAGTGTCGTGAGATCCGGTAACAATCCCCCTGAAAACTAGGCAGGGGTGTCCGACAGACCGATAAGACTCCCAACAGTGCGCGCTCGCCCTCGCCTTTGCTGTGTCTACCCAGAATATGAGCTCAAGTCCTGACGTGGGGCTTAAACCCACAACGTTCTGAAGGTCACATCTATAGTGTTTATTTACCTTCTCGGGACATCGTGCGGAAGGTGGATCGGTTCACTTCGTTCACTTCACTGGGTCTCTTAACGTTTCATCCAACTCTAAAAGCTTTGAGGAACCCGCTCTCAATTAAATAGGTCGCATACGAAATATTATCGATTTTGCTATTTTTACTTTGGGTCATTGCAATCCAGAAACAAGTCCTGTGCCATTACCCCAAAGTATAACAGCGTTGATACAAACGCACCCAGAGACTTCCTTCTTTAGTTAAGAAATCCTGAACGTCTCTGTGCTTTTAGTAACCTCTCAGCCTATGCGGTGAGTTACCAACTCTCGATCGAGACGTGTAAAATCTCCAGGGAAAAAAAAAGTGCAGAATATCTGCACGAAAAAAAATGTTAATGTTAACTTTTTTCGACAGAGAAAAAAAAATTTAGCCGGGTGCGGAGCTTCCGTTTGCAGCATTTCTTAATAATAAATAGACAGACAGACAGACAGACAGACAGACAGACAGACAGACAGACAGACAGACAGACAGATAGATAATTAATAATAATAACAATAATCCTTGCATTTGATACGGCGCCTTCTCACGTTTTCGAGACGACTCGAAGCGCTTACACGCCGTAGAGTGAATTGACTGTGTATCTTGTGGGCAAAGCACGGTTGCCAATTGGGCACAGTTGTGGATTGAAGTGACCGATTCATTTTTTAAAAATTAATTATCACCCCCCGGTAAAGCGATCCGCCAGATGACTAGCAACCGGGTTCCTACTGACTGCTGGTAACCAGAGGGCTGTAGAGTCAGGAAACTTGGCCAACGTTTCGCCCTGACCGGCCGGGAATCGAACTCGGGTCTCTCGCTCGCTCGGCGAGGGCTCTCACCACTGAGCGACAGGACTCCGCAGGACTACCTAAGTTACGTGTGTTTTAAAAAAAGCCAAAGCTTATCTACCGATATTCAGCAGTTAATTGCGTTAACGTCCAAACATAGTGAGGAGAGAGAATCGAACTCGGGTCTCTCGCTCGCGAGACGAGTGCTCCAATCGCCGAACTCTCGGGACTCCAAATGTATGACTATCCAATTTTAAGACACGACATGTGCTGTACAATAAATAGTGGTTTAGGTCATTGGTTTAGAAAAGTGCACTGAATGTTTTAGAAGTAAATACATTTCATTTTAAGAAATGTTAAGAGATATGGCACAGAATATCACAAGTCGCACCTCCTGTTGTTTTATGCGCTTTAATTCCCGGTTTGGAAATCGTCAAAATGATATTTTTAAGAGTTTGCACCATCTGATCTCGTAATCGCAACGCAAATGAACCGAAAGACAATCAATACCAATGCGTAGCTCTCAATATTTATTCAACTGACAATCCGTAGCGCTGTCCGCGCGAAACGCGGCTCTTTTTTTGGGGGGGAAAGTAGCGCTTTGTCAAGTTCCGCTCAGTCAATAAATAGTCTGGACGCGCCTTTCCCCCCCGAGTTTCTTCACGTGGTCGGTCAGTTCAGCTGTCCATACGGCATCCGTACGACGTCCATACATTTCCATACGATGTCCATACATTTCGCCCACGAGTCAGTTCACTGTCCCGTCGGTTCTGTGCGGCGCTGCTGTGAGACGCCTCGGAGGACACGGTGAGCGGCGCCGCATCGCGAAGCCACGGTGGTTGCTGTCGCCTCTTGGGCTTCCGGGGGCCGACCGCTGCCCCTTCGCCATCGCCGAGTCACCGCCAAAGAAGTCTCGGGGTCTTTGAGTCCTGAGCCCTGAGCCCTGAGCAGGGGGTTGGGGTTGAGGGGTTGGGGTTGGGGGGTTGGGGTTGGAGGGGTTGGGGTTGGAGGGGTTGGGGTTGGGGGGGTTGGGGTTGGAGGGGATGGGGTTGGAGGGGTTGGGGTTGGAGGGGTTGGGGTTGGAGGGGTTGGGGTTGGAGGGGTTGGGGTTGGAGGGGTTGGGGTTGGAGGGGTTGGGGTTGGAGGGGTTGGGGTTGGAGGGGTTGGGGTTGGAGGGGTTGGGGTTGGAGGGGTTGGGGGTTGGAGGGGTTGGGGTTGGAGGGGTTGGGGTTGGAGGGGTTGGGGTTGGGGTAGGGGTTGGGGTTGGGGGGTCCTCACAGCTTCAGCGCAGTCGCAGGTCCCACTTGGGCTCCGGAGGGCACCTGTGTGGGTGCGGTGGGCACACGGGTCGGGGCTGTGCCGCCCGAAGGCAGAAACCCGCGTCGGTCGAGAGAATGACTGAAATCCCCTTCTCGGTAAAGGTCCTCCACCGCCCGAAGTGCGTGTGGGACCGCCTGTGGTCCTCTCTCCGGTGTCAGTGACACGGACCCTCTCTCTCTCTCCCTCTCTCTCTCTCTCGTGTCGCCTTCTCCCCACCGGGAGGACACTCACTCACTCACTCGCTCGCTCGCGCGCTCACGGGATCTTCACGGACCTCCTGCCCGCGCGCAGCAGCTGCAGCAGCTTCTCCCTCTTCCTCCGGCCGAGGGCGGTCAGGGCGCGGGCGGTGTCCTCGCTGTCCTGGGGGATGGTGACGATGTGCGCCCTCTCCTCCGCCGCCTTGTCCCCGGAGCGCTGGAACAGCCGCTGGAGGGCCGCGCGGTCCACGTCCTGGAAGATGTCGGCGGCCGCTTTCTTGCGGAGAGCGGAGTCGAAGCGCTGACCGTACACTGACGGACTGACCCTGCGGGGGCCGCCCCGGGGCCGGGGCTCGGGCTCGGGCTCCATCGGCACTGCGAGAGGCTCCGCTCTGCGCTCTCCCTCCAGCCCCGGGTCCCCGCCCTTTATAGCCGGTCACAACACTACTGCCCCCCCCCCCCCACCCCCGGGGGGAGGCCCGACACATGACATCAAAGCCCTCCCCCCACACACACACACACCCCCCACACACACACACCCCACACCCCACACACCCCCCCCCACACACACACACACACCCCCACACACACCCTCACACACACACCCCCACACCCCCACACACACACCCTCACACACACACACACCCCCACACACACCCCCCCACACACACACCCCCCACACACACCCCACCCGGCGCCCGCCATCACCCCCCCCCATCACACACACACACCCCCCACACGCCTCTTTAAATTGGACAGCACAGCCACAGACTAAATTTAAACCGCTTCAAACCTCAGTCCACACACACACATCACTCACTCACTATCACTCAGTCTCTCTCACACTCACTCACATTCACTCACTCTCTCTCACACTCACTCACTCTCACACTCACTCACTCACACTCTCACACTCACTCTCTCACACTCACACAAACTCCCTCACACTCGCTCTCTCACACACTCACTCTCACATTCACTCACTCACTCTCACACTCACTCACATTCACTCACTCTCTCACTCACTCTCACATCCTCACTCACTCTCTCTCACACTCACTCACTCTCACACTCACTCACTCTCACACTCACTCACTCACACTCTCACATTCACACACACACATCACTCACTCTCACACTCACTCACTCTCACACTCTCACACTCTCTCACTCTCACACCCACTCACTCTCACACTCACTCACTCTCACATTCACTCACACTCACTCTCTCACTCACTCTCACACAAACTCCCTCTCACACTCGCTCACACTCGCTCTCTCACACACACTCACTCTCACATTCACTCACTCACTCACACTCACTCTCACTCTCTCACATTCACACACACACATCACTCACTCTCACATTCACTCACATTCACTCACTCTCTCACTCACTCTCACATCCTCACTCACTCTCTCTCACACTCACTCACTCTCACACTCACTCACTCACACTCTCACTCTCACATTCACACACACACATCACTCACTCTCACACTCACTCACTCTCACATTCACTCACTCTCTCACATTCACTCTCACTCACTCTCTCACACTCACTCTCACACTCACTCTCACATTCACTCTCACATTCACTCTCACATTCACTCACTCTCACATTCACTCACTCTCACACTCTTTCACACTCGCTCTCTCACACACACTCACTCAAGAGTTTTAGGAGAATCCTTTTTTAAAAAAATTTCAGCTTTTAAGTTTCTTTTCTGGGCAAACAGGAACCAGAGGCCACGGAACGGTCCCCACTGCAGATCTCATAAACCTGCAGTCGCGGTTCGAACAGTCTGTAAACCTTCACTCCCGGGCAAAACACTGGGGTGGACTTTTATAATAATAGTTTTATGGCGGGAAGTGGAAATAGATCCCACAATTATTAACAAACCGGTTTGCGGCTACGTTTGTAAAGCGGTTTAGCTTCACCGGTCGCTCTCTCGCCCGCGTGTTTTCATTTGTTCTCGAAAGCCTTGATCTTCGCTGCTTTGGCATCCTTATCCCTTGAGATTAAGTAACTGTGCTCCTGAGCTCGTTTGGCATCCTCTGCTCGGGTATCGGTTTGGGAGGACTCCTGTGGGAGATTACTCCCTGATGCGCAGACATTTTGTCTTTTATTAGTATAGATATATCTCTTTATCTCAGAGGTGTGTGACCTCTGTCACCACTTTGTTGCAGAATACCGTTGCATACCTTGTTGGGGGCTCAATTAAAGCATTTTTTAATATTTTTTAATAGGTCATCGAAAAAAAAATATGCCCATGATGCTCCCGCCAGACAAGACCTTTCCGATGAGGTATAAATCATATCTCTACATCAATCGGAGATTGCGTTCTTGGCAGACACACAGACAGACATTTCGTCTTTATCAGACTACATAATAAACCTTACAGTTGATAGTCAGACAAATAAAGACAAATACGGTAAAACCAGTTACAGAGGAAAGCTCCTGTTCGTTTAGAAAGACACTTGTGTGACCTTTCCTGCACCAACAACCCTTGTCGTTTTGGGTAAGAATAGCAAAGTGCTGCGGTTCTAAGTTAGAGAGAATTCTGAGCTGTTGACTCAAGCGCCTGTGGAACTTGAGATTGACCCGTCATGAATGTTACTGCTAAAGTGTTGACTTTCGATCCTGTCAGGATGTTTGTTGTACTATCCTTAATATTGTACAAAAGTAGTGACAGGTTTCGTTTAGACTTGATTTTTCTGTGATAGGCTTTAAAAAAAACGCATTGTATTAAAAAGATAAAAGATTTTAAGATTAAATCTCGTTCCTTAAGATGAGAACGTGCAATGATATAAATCAGTGGCATCTAATTACTATAATAATAATAATCCTTGCATTTGATATAGCGCTTTTCACGTCTTCTCGACGTTCCAAAGCGCTTCACAGGATAGACTGTAAAGTGGATTGACTGTATATTTGTGGGCGAACGCGGCAGCCAATTGCGCACAGCAATGTCCCACAAACAGTCGTGGACTGAAAATGACCAATTTATTATTTTTTTTTGGAGGGATTATTAATAGGCTCTGTGTGGAGTAAGGAAACTTGCCCGAGGTTTCGCCCTCTGCCGGGAATTGAACCCAGGTCTCTCACTAATCACAACCACAACTAATTAAAACATACACAATTATGTGTACGTACATATAATAAGCAAGAAGTCCCTGCAAAAGTGGAGAACTCAGCCAGAGATTAAAATTTGCAGGGGTTGTTATAAAGCCCCATTACATCTCCCATTATGTGGCAGATCTTAAGCAATCAAATCGCTGCACACCAACAGTGCCCAAAGCAAACTTATTTTGTTGTGAAACTCTTTTATTAAAGTAAAGCCATCAATGCAACAAGATAAATGCACAAGAATTTTTAAAGCTAATTTTAGCCAGAGGGATAGATTTTAAAAGAGGCGCCTCAATAGGAAGTTTGGACCATACAAGCGTCTGTGTATCAACTTCCTTTAGTGCGGCTAAACAATAGTGGACTGTACAGTTAAATACAAGGAAACAGCTGAGCGTCTCTGGTGAGGGGAGAATAGCTTCATCTCCAGAACATTTTGTATGGATCTTTAAAACAAATGATGCTACGCCCACGGGTGGGGAGGCTCTTGGACCTAATGTGTACCTTCATAAGTAATAAAACATAGTTAAGATCTTAACATTATATCTGCCTTTTTAAATATTTACGGCATTTCAGTGGAAAGTCAAAGGTATTTCATTTTGAAGCGATCTTTTGCAGGTACATAAAGGCAGTAGGCAAGAGCCTGGCACCAGGACACCACTGCATTGTTAATCACTTATACTCAAAAACAGTTTTATGTTTAATTACAAAGTGAAAAGGAAAACTAATATAGTTTATGTTACAATAGATATATCAGCTGTTGTCAGTTCTTAATCCAGCACTTAACTGAGAAATGCTACAACTAAGAGAGGCTGCCATCTATTTAACATGACAACTACCAAACATTCACACACAAGTTGGGTGCTGTATACCAAAATGTTCAAATTAGATCGACTTGGGATGCAAAACTATTAGAGAAAACCAGTGATGTTCAGGTTTAGGTTTCATTGGAGTCCTGTAGCTCAGTGGTTAGAGCAATCACTTTTCAAGAGAGAGACCTGGGTTCGATTCCCGGCAGGGTGAAACCTTGGGCAAGTTTCCTTACTCCACGCGCACGATAATGATCCCTCAAAAAAAAAAATCGGTCATTTCAATCCGCGACTGTTCGTGGGACACTGCTGTGTGCAATTGGCTGCCGCATTTCACCCACAACTATACAGTAAATTCACTTTACAGTCTATTCTATAAAGCGCTTTGAGAAGTCTAGAAGACGTGAAAGGCTCTATACCAAATGCAAGGATTATTATTATTATCTCTAGAACTGCTTGCTTTCAGACAATTTTACTGGCATATTTTTTTATTGAAGATTCTTATGTGCCTCACATATTAACATTTTACAATAGTTTTCTATTCACTCTATCAAATATAAAATATTTTGGCAGACCAACATGACATTTTAATGTTTAGACAATTACTTTATCTCAGCTCCACCAAACATTTCCTGTATTGAATAGTTACTAGTTACCGCCCTGTTGGTTGCCTCTGCAACTAAAACATACATTTAACTCTTGTAACTCTTGTTTCGCTCATAAAATATACAGTCAATTCATTTTACAGTATATTCAGTGAAGCGCTTTGAGACGTCTCGAAGATGTGATAAGGCACTGTATCAAATTCAAGGATTATTATTATTGTTGTAAGTGTGGTAGAGCTTTGGAAACCTTTCCATGAAGATTCACATTACAAAATATTTATTCTTATGTGGAAAACTATCAAAATTCTCTAGTTTATGAATTAAACAAGTGAAATTAATAATCTCGGAAAGCACATATGTCTTTGTTTTATTACGTGTCCCCAGGATATCACACATTGTGCAGGAAAGGATCGGTTCTACCTGAGGGTGTGAATGCCATCAAGGAAGGGAGATGGCTGGATTGAAAACCAAAGGAGCGATGAGGAGAATTTTTTATACAGATTTTTTGTTACAGTCTGGAATGCACTACCGAAAAGAGTGGTGGCCACAAATTCAATAACAACTATCAAAAGGGAATTAAGATAGGTACTTGAAAAGGACAAATGCAGAAAAAATGGTTCTCGGAAAGGGTGAAAGAAAAAAAATAGAATACACAATAAAAGAGAGGATAAGCTCCTCTAAGAAATTCCTTGTTTGACTGTGTATTCTGAATAATGAGCTTGCTTAACTCTAAAACAAATGTCAGGGTCCCTGAGTAAAGCAACTATTGTGCAGTCTTAAAAAAATTTGAATCTTAACTTTTGATTCGGAAAATTTAAAATGGGTCCTATCTGGCTTTACTGGTATTTTACTGGTAATTTCCTGTCCTTATAGACGGGATCCACAAGCCTTGTCTCCTGACAACCTCTGAA